TATTAGTTTTACATTCCACAGTCCGCCCTATAATTACTGAACTATCGAAGGCCTTTTTGGCATAATGAGTGGAACCGTAATACACTAATCTTAAGGTCCTAAGTTCTATCTTCGCTTCAATATGCGTAACAGATAACATTAGTTGGTAAACAATGTGTTTGACTTTAATTCATGTAAAGTGACTTTAAAATTATTTGCATTTGGTTTCTGAAGTTTAATTAATTATTTCAAGAAAAGCCTTTCGAGTCGTTTATGACCGTTTAGAAGTGACTTCAAAATTATTTGAATTTGGTTTCTGAAACTTAATTAATAATTTCAAGAATAGCCTTTCAATTCGGTTATGGCTGTTAAAGAAGAATACAATCAATCAGCCGACGAAAAATATATAACGTATTGGGTCAAGTGATGGGATAGCTATTTTGCACTTGATGGGACAAAATTTCAATATATTGATGATTTCTTATTGTTTCATTTAGTCATTTCAAATGCTTTTGACACAATATGTATAATAAACTACACACACACAAATGGGTGGATATTTATTACCCACCCAAATTATAATAAATAAGTTTGCATTACATTTACTATATAACAATAGAAGATGTGGCTTTTGATTATAAAATAAATGTTATTTATTGTAAAATTAAATTGCTATCTAAATACTTAGTAATAAATTTTATATATTTTATTATAGCAAATCCGCATTAAAATTTTAAAATAAAACTTAATTTAATTTTAATTAATTTAATTTAGTAATTTAGTTTAATTTGATAAAATTTAATACATAAGACAAGTAGATTTGAAAATTAGCTAAACTCACCTTGAATTCATCCAACAGTAAATAATAGGATTGTACATAGAATTACTCATGGCTAACCAGTATATAGCTAAGTACAATTCTTGTATATAAGGTGCTTTAGTAATTCCTGGATAGCAGGATGTTACAATGAAATAAGCATGAAACGGTAGCCAACAAACAGCGAATATCAATACCACAACCATCATCATTTTCACAACCTAAATAAAGAAACATTATATGAAATAATAAATTTGTTTTTTAGTAATTTAAAGTTTTAATATATTTAAAATATAATTTTTTTCGAAAAAAGTAAAAAAAGGTTTTATAAAACTTACCCTACGTTTCCCCTTCACATTTTCGACTTGTCGTGGGGTATATTCACCAATAGCTTTCGAGCCCCAAAGTTCAATGCCCACACGTGAGTAGGTGACAGTCATTGATATGATCGGCAAAAAGTATGTCAATATCATGAATAGTATATTATAGCTATAAAAGTAAAAAACATATATGTTAAATATTTAAAGGATAATGGAAATCGAAACAATTTAAACAAAGATGAAATATGTTTTTGAAATGCATATTTCTTCGTCGATTTTGATATTAAGTACAGAGAACCTATTTTAATTTTCAACACGCTTTCAGTTTATGGTACTTTCTTGTATTGCATTTAAACCGATTTTGAAAAGAAGAGAAGAAATGGAAAATTTGCAATGTACTCAAGTGCTTGACACATTTACAAATCAAATATTCATAGCAGTATCTTTCCACAGAAAATAGTGTTTGATTTCAGTTGTAAAAGTTTTTATGTTCGATTGATACCAGCAATTTTATGTTCTGGTGCACTGTAAAATGCACGTATACGTCAAATTTGCATAACGTAGTTGAAGTACAGCAAAGTACCAAGTAAATGTGAAGTATATTCAATGAGAGAGTAAGTGGTTCCTTGGTAGAAGAAAAACATTTACATGTGCTTTCAGATTTTATCAATTTATAGTTCTAACAAGAAGCAGTTCTTGACTTGTCATTCACTTATAAATTTTGTATCACATCAGATATTTAAAGATACTTAGTTTGATGTTTTTGCTACTTAAAATTTCATGTTAGCAGCTGTTGCCTTGTCACTATATTATAAACTTCTTATCAGACCAGATGTCGCATTTACAGATAGTCAACTATTACAAATTTATTTTAATTTAAATTTCATAGAAACCGCTTCTTGACTTGCCACTCTATCATAAACTTTACTTATGACGAGAAGTCTTATTTTGAATAACTAGATTTTTTTTTAATTTAAATTCCATTGAAATGCCTCCTTGACTTGTCACTCTGTTATAAACTTTGCATCAGACCAGAAATCATGCTCAGAGATAAGCAGTTCAATATTTTTAAAATTATTTTACAATTTTTATATGTCTTATTACTGTATAAGACAGTAACCTTGATTAATGCAACTAATAGAATTCGAGGATGTTGCAATAATCGAGTTTTAGTTTATTTAGTGCGTCTAAAATTTTTAAATCAAATAAAGACACATTAACACGAAGTTTATTAGAAAATAATATGATTACTTATTTTTATTTATAACAAGATAATTGCAATCATACTTTATGATAATAATTTGTTATTTCAGTTGGCTTTTTATTGCAATTAAGATTCATTGTAACTGCCCCATTTTTTAGATCTTTAAGTATTACAACTTCTGTAAGAGCTATGGAATTTTCCTTAGCCCATTGTATGCATGTGTTAAGTGGATTTATTGCCACGCCATTTTTAATTTAAAGTGTAATTACAGACTCAGTATCTGAGTCTTAATCGATGTTAACTTGTTCTGGGAGTGACACATTTTCCATAGAATATTCGTTGATCCACTCATCCATTTCTTATCGAGAAAGAAAATCTGAAACAATTTCATGATTTCATAATATTCCTATGCACCGATAGTGTGTTCGCGAATTCTTATGATTGCAATATCAAAGGTAAAACAGGAAAAAATTTAAGAGGTTGGAATAAACGAGGAGTTGCGATATTCGAGGGTTGCATTAATCGAGGTCATATTGTATTTGTATCTTGTTTTCTGTATCTTCTGTATCTTATTTTAATACTCATACTAAACATATTCATTCTGTATGCATTTAATGTGCAATATATTAACAACCTATACTCTCTACTCATTAGATTAGTTAGGGCTTTAAAATTTAATGTTTACCATAAAATTTAATGTATTTCTCAAGATATTATCCTTTTGCTAAAAAATGAAAACGAAATCTCAAATGGTTTAGACAGTTTTATACTTTTATGTTAATTACTCTCGGTTGTAACGTTGTTTTTTACAAGTAAAAAATATGGAATAGAAATTGAGAATAAAATTTAACTTTGTGATAGGAAAATATTTATTATTTTCACAGTCCTTTAGAGACAAAAAAGGCAAACCTTAAAAATATTTAAAAGTATGTAAATTCCCGAAAGAGACAATAAAGATAAATAAAATTAAACTTAAAAATAAAGAAAGGATACCTCCAGCAAAAAAAAGAGTATTGTTTACAAGTAAAAGGAATACAGTAGTTTAGAAAAAATAGTTACGAATAAAAACGATTGTAAACAGTAAGGATGGGGTGTTGACTCTTAAATTTAAGACAGTAATTTTTTAAGACAGAAACCAGCTTTACTCCACACAACAACTTCACAATAATACCCACATTTAGCTTCTCAAAATTTCAAAACAATTTTATTTTACGCAAAAAATAATATTTTAAGGGAAAATGAATGTAGTAAAAAACATATACCTATACAAAATTAAAACCATTAAATTGTAGAATGCTTTACTTTTATTAAAAATAATTATATTTTTATTATATTCTATATTATATTGGTATTATTGTGATTATTCTATTATTATAAACATAATAGAATCATATCACATAAGTTTTGTCCTAGTAAATTAAATACATATAGGTTCCGAAGCAAGCCCTTCACTGCAGTCATGCATGTAGCCAGTGTTCAACTTATTTTAAGTGAACGGTTTAATTTTATATATAAATTGCAAGTAAAATTGAATCTTTCTTAATTGATGCAACTTAAATCTGTAATTCTTCGTTTTAGTTTAAAGTTATCTGTTTGATCTGATCTCACCAACACTTTGCAACTAAACAGAAGTCTTTATCCTACGGAAACGTTTGAATTAATTAAATTCTGTAATTCTAAATTTTGCTTCCCAGTTTGAGTTTTAATTGTGTACGAAAGCAGTGCATTGAATAATCTTGAAGAAAATAGAAAAATATTTTTAGCAATTTATTTTGCATAATAGCATATAACATAAAAAACATAAAACAATCTTTCAATATATATGGACCTTAACGGTCCATACCACAAAGATATCATAAAAAAGTGCTCATGGAAGATAATTTTAAGTAAACATAGAAAACCTACACCACTGATGATAGATATTTGGTTATACTCAAAACAGCTGCATGGTTAGCCAATTCAGTTAATTAAAATAATATAAAAAGAATTTTTGTTATTGTAGTTCACTACTTTTAGATCCCTCTCTAAACATAGAAATATTTGTTTTTTGCGATATTTAGCTCAAATTTAACGTTCAAAACTAGAGACAAAACTTTTATTAGAACATTAATTTTCTTAAGAACGTTGGATAAATGATTTTTAATTTACATATATTAATCTTCCATATATTACATATATTACAATCGGGTATCAATCTTGGGTTAGTTGAAAACTCTCCATTAATCCAATTAGAGCTTTCCTAACATTGTATTACCATATTCTCATAACTAAGTGATTGTTTGGTTGCTTTTTGTAACAGCACGGCAAGATTTAATCTGTGTAGGTTAGGCACCTCAAAACTTCGTTAATATTAACTTCTGCTAGCTATCCAGGATTATTAAAGAGCGGCTTATGGTAATACACCCTCTAAAAAGCACCGCATAAAAGGAGAAAAGTAGAACAAGTTTTGTGTTTATTTGTTTAACTGCAGTTGCAATAGTAAGTATTGTGAAACTGGTCACCTGTTATCTAATATACCCGAAGTCAGTTGTTAGTTCAGAGAGATCCTTTATATTTCTGTTTATTAGCCATAGTGTTGTAATCCGGCTAAGTATGTTGAAAAGCCGTTACGTACTCTTAGAAAATTATTTCATTTTCGATAAAGGGAAAATATATCAACTGTTATTCGTTTGTAGATCTCGTTGATGTGATCAGTCACCACAATCGAAATAAGAGTTGGTGCAAACGGTCGTAATGGTTCCGATGTGATTCACAAACGATTAATATTTTAAATTGGTAATAATTTTTATTGGAAATGAAATATTTTCTATTGTAAATGCTCTCTAAATGAATTAATTTTGAAAGTTCAAGTAAATTTAATTTACGGATATGAATTTCGTCTGTTAGAATTGTTTAAGTTTGTACAAAATAATTTCTTTAACTGCTCCAAATTCCAAAATAAATTTAAAGTAGTCAATCCTTTGTGTTGTTAAATACTTTAAAATTTCTTCTCTTATTATTTGAGTTCAGTATTTGTAGTGCAAAATTACTTTAAAATGATTTTACATATATTTTAATACAATTACAGTTTTAATTCGTTACCATTAAAATGAAATAATAAAGCCACTTCATAAGAACAAAGTTCTTTAAAATTTTTTTAATTGTTCGTAAAATAGTAATATTGTTATAATGCAGTAATATTTTAATTACTCAATTTTTTGTAATTATGCAGGTAAATAAATTGGGAAAATTTATTTATACATATCAAATATCACAAAGCATTTAAAAGTAATGAAGAGTGCAATAATGACAGCATGGAAATTTACAACTCCTTTGTAGTGCATTTTAATTGCATTTACAAATACTTACATGTACTCCAGTTCGGAGTGATTTGTTGGGCCATCAGGCCATTCAGTATAACAAACTGTGCGTATACCATCTTGTGAAGTTGTTTCGCCTGTAGTGAAAAACAGCAACATTGGACAGGATATTATCGCAGAAACAATCCATATAACTGCAGCAATAGCTAAATTGCAACGCTTGCTCATACGTGGTTGCAATGGTTTCATGATTGCAATATATCTGTAAATAAGTAAGCAAAGGATTAATTTGGAAAATAGTCGTTTACAAACTAAAATAAAAAAAAAATGTGTACAGCTGAGTTTGTTATTACTAGGTGAAGGTGAAGATAAAAAATATACAATATAATTTAAATTTTACAAAACATGTACTTATTTAAGTAATTTTTTATAGATTGATTTTATTCCATTACCCATTTTGACACTCACCTGTCAATTGAGATCGCCATTAACGTAAACACTGATGCACTTATACTTAATGTTGCTATGAACTGTGAAATTTTACAGTAAAGTTCTCCGAATGGCCAGTCGTTGTCCAACATGTAAATGTAATTGAAAGTTACATTTAAACTGGATACCATGGCATCAGCAATGGAAAGATTTACTGTAATTAAAGCAAAAACCAAAAGAGAACAGAAATACAAAACTTATTCAGCCAAAAATTTTAATTAAAAAACTTTTTGAAATATTTTTAAACTGAATAAAAAAAAAATTTATAATGAAAATTCTTTATATATTATTAGCTAATAAGTAATTTTACTGAGCCCATAACACAAAATATTTAAATTTTTATAAATTATATTTTATTTTTGAAAAATTTAAGAGAAATTTTTAATAACTCTACCACTTTTTTCACGCTCTAAAAATTCAACCTCATATCCTTTGCTTCTTAGTTAATTTATACACTTTTTACTTTGTAAAAATAACAAGTTTAATATTTTTATTTTTATTTTTTTTTGCGGTAAATACAATCACTTTGTGAAAATCTAAATTTCCGCATAAAAGTGTAAACATTTTTTAAGACCAAAATTTTTATGAAAACTCACCTATAAAATAATTCGTTACAGTACGCATTCGCTTTGTTGTTAACACAATCCAAACCACAATTAAATTACCGCCAGTTGCGACAATAACCATCCCAACAAAGAGTATATTCCAGAGCACTTGTCGCCACCATGGCAGAATAAAGGATATGTCATCGGCGCTAAAATGTAAACAATAAAAGAAAACAATGCCAAAAAGCAAATTAGTGATAATGTTGTATTTTTATGAGTATCTGCTAGACTATGAGAGTTATTCTTTATAAATATGTAAAAGGACACTACCATGAATTCTGCAAGTGGAAAAAAAAATTTTTGTAAATGTAATCGTAAACGTTCATGGCCTTTCCTTCAGTTCATGTGTTCACTAAAGTGTATATAAATATGCAGCGTTTACACACAATATTTGCATAGCTGTGGAGGATATAATATTAATGGTATAAGCCATATAAATACGAAATCAACATCAACAACACTAAAGGACGAATGTAACAATATTTGCTGTGAACAAAACAGCATTAAACAATAAAAAAG